TAAAGCCTGTGCTGCTCCTGCTCCCTGTAAATAGACTGGAGCTTGGAGAGGTCAATGTGCAGTTGTCCCCTCCACAGCCACAAGCCAGGACCGACAGCAGCTACTGCAAACTCTAATCTGCACGCTCAGCATCTGCCAGGTACAAGAGCATTAATGTCTGGGATTTAGTGATCTGCAATCGGCCCTGAAGGTGAGAATAAACCAGCCCCTAAATCAGGGCATTTAAAAAAAGAAAATCTTCTCTATCATTTTTTCTTTGCCAGATAAATATTCTGGACTTCGTTTGCTCCAAGAGAGCCCAAACACACTATGTGCTCCAAAGCACAGGGACAACATGAGTAGCCTGTAAGTGATTCTGTTCACAAGGCGTTTAAATAGCTGTGGACTCATCCTTGATCTTAACAGGTTTTAATTCCACTCAGTCATTGTTTGTTTTAGGCCCTGCGACCTCTCTGCTGTCTTCAGGGTGTGGACTTCCTTTGTAAAAACATAGCCCAGTTTATCTCTGCGAAAGGGGGGGGTCACACTTTTCTTATCTGTAGTTTTTAGAACCACCACGATCGATCGATCGCTGTGCTTGCTCTCTAAAGCCAGCTCTCTGTTTGAGGGACCTGAGCTGTGTGGGGAGTTGGGCAATGCAAATTACAGTAAAAGTACAAAGGCCTGGGGGAATTCAGGGATTTTGCCATTGTTCGTCTGCATCCTGCGAGCCGTGAAGTGAAATGTTTACCTACTCTTATTGGCACCACATTCAGGATCCCAGCGATATTCCAGTAAAATAAAAGCTTTTTGTTTTCCTTGTTTTGCTTCAGTGTAGCCACACCTCAAGCACAGTCACCTCTATATAAGCCATCAGCTCTCATGAGCCTCAGAAAGGAGTTTTGTGTTGTGCTGCATAGAACTGCTAAACTCTAGACTCGGGTAAGCCATCATTATTATTCCAATATCCTATTCTTTTCCTTACTCTAGCAGGTAAGGGCAACTTCTTGTTTACAGTAATAGACCTGGTCCTGCAACAAGGCATTTACTGGAGAAATCTGATTAAAATGTTTTGCTCAAGGGTTTAACAGCTGCAATACTAATGGGACTTGAACCCACAACCCACTGGGGAGGCATCAAGAGCTCAAACCACTCAGCCACACTACTGGTCTTTGTTATACCTTCTGTGAAGTCCTCTATCATGTATAGTTTCAGCTTCTTGTATTGGTAAATGTTTAGCATTAGATCAGCCTACACATCATGTCACTATAATTAGCTAGAGGTTAATTGATCCCAGGATCTCATCCAACCGTTAATTAAGAAAGGCCAGGGTTTAAGCTTTGACAAGGCTAATTTGCTCCATACTCCCACCACCCTTTTTGTAAAGAACTGCTTTTTGTTCAGTGACAAATGCATTCCGTTTAGTTTCCACTTGTGTCCTCTGGTAAATGTTACACTGTCTATTCTGAAGAAGTCCTCTGAGTTGTTTTAGTCAGTGACACTGTCAGTTTTGAACACTTGTATGTATTTGGAAAACTTTGAAATCTGTGTGCCTTTGTGTGTGTCTGCTACACTCCCATTTCATTTTCATTTTGTTTTCTGGGTTCTTTAGAAATACCCTGTTTCAGTTTGGAGCTCCCAGGAACTTCACCTGCCTGATTCGCTCACTGCAAAGTGGTAGACAAGAAGGGGGCGAGTCAATCTCAGATTTCCTGGAGAACCGGTTTAGCCTGAAGAGTGGAGTACTAATTTTGAGCTGCTTGGTTCTAGTCATAATGCTCTCAAGGGAATTTTGTATGTAATTATATTGATCGATATTTGATCAGCCTCATTTGGCAATTAGCAGGTGATTATGAAGTCTTGTCTCCTATAAGTCCAATGTGTGGGTTCACACTGATGTCCAGCTTATGGCAATCCCCTGGGCTCAAGTCTTGACAGCAGCCTCCCAACCCACTGTTTGTTACCACTCCATCGATGGGACCTGATTCCAGTATTCAAAACCCTCCAGCAGTCAAACCAGTGGACCTTCAGAACCAACAGTGAAGCACAAACCAGAGCAAGGTACATTCAAAACTAAGACCAGGAGGCATTTCTTTACACAAAGAGTTTTGGGAGTGTGGAACAAGCTGCCCAGCCATGTTGTTGAAGCCCATACACTGGTTTCTTTAAAGGAGCGTTAGTTAGCTATGACATTCCAAATGGTCTAGATGGGCTGGCTAGTTTGTCACGTCACTTATCGTATGTTTATATGACCTGTGTGGACTCAATTGACATTCTTATTTCCTATTAGTATTACTTATTATTACTTACAGTTTGCAGCATTTTGCATTTGATGAATCTAAAAAGGTGCTGTATTGAAGCAGTAGTATGGAGAAGCTTGCAGGTTTGCAGATTTAAATCCCAAAGGGAAGCACAGCTTCAGATTGCTCCACTAAATGCCTGTATTGAAGTACATGAATACATGTTGCTTTGGATGAATGTGTCGTCCTAATTCATTAATAATTAGGGAGTTCGAGAGTTTTCTAGTGGAGTATTGAGGTCTGTTGCACTCAGTAGCATGTGCTGGAAGAGTTGGTGATTGATAGGAGTTGTCCAATGTTTCATTTTAAGCTCTGCAGATGTTTTGATATTGATTCTGCGTGTAAACTTTGCTTGGAAAGCCTGAATTTGGGATGCGTGGGCTGTTATTCCTTAGGGAATGGCAAGAGGAATTTCTCAGGACGACTGGTGCCAGGCCTTGAGCAGTATCATCGAAGAGCTAACGGAGCCGCAGTATAAGAAGATGATGATGCTGCTCCCTAAAATACCCCAAAGCAAGAAGAAGATGGCCAGGGAGGAGATGCCCGAGGTGATCGTGTCTCAGTACGGGCTGGAGGAATCCGTGGTCGCCGTTCAGGAGGCGGTGGGAAAGATTCCCAGGAACGACCCGCGGATGATCGGGCTGCTGCAGCCCTTCACTGCAGCCTTGCACGGAGGTACACCCGCTTCCGAAGGGATCTAGCGAGAAGAAAAACTAAGACAAAAAAACGGAGGGACAAAGTTGTAAAAGTCTGGACTGGTTCTTAAAGATGCGTTACAGTACTTTAACAGGCATACTAAGACGCAGGTTAATGTCATTTGGAAATCTGCACACTGGGCTCCAGACTGCATTGTTCTTCATCCCAGTTCGGGAGAACGAGGAGCTGCAGGGTTAATGTCGGAAAACCAAGGAGCCGACCAGTTGCTGTGGCTCTGGAGGCCAGAGCTACGAGATTCCAGGGCAGCTCATCAGAGTTTTCACACCCCTCACCACAGGACACCCTGACTTACCCTCTTTCTGCTTTGTGATTTTCCCTTACAGCGCAGAAACGCCCTCCTGCCGAAAGCCACAGCGCTCTGCCTGAGAAGGTTTCTAAAACGGACGGTGAGGGTAAATTCTGTCTGCCTGTCTCTGTCAAACACCACTCTTCAGTTCTGACAGCCATATCGGCCTAAGAAAGAAACAGAGGAGGCCATACAGCCCATCTAGCCCTTAAGGTAGTAAGCACTGTGGCACAGTGATTAGCATGGCTGCCTTGAATCCCTGGGGCGCTGGGTTCAATTCTGGACCTGCTGACGTCTGTATGTTCTCCCTCTGTTTGTTTGGTTGACTCCAGGTGCTCCAGTTTCCTCCCAAAATCCCAAGACAAAATAATAATTCCTTCCACTTATAGAGCGCTTTGCTGGATGCTCACCTCAAAGCATTTTACAGGTAATGCAGACTCCCCTCCACCACCAGTGTGCAACCTGCATGATGTGACGGCAACCCAGTACACTCACCCCACACGAGCTCTCAGTGGGAAGAAGAACAGAGTGATGATGCCAGTTCATAGATGGGAATCATTAGGAGGCCATTGGTTAAGGCCAGGGGGAAATTTGGCCAGGACGCTGGGGTAGCATCCCTACTCTTTTCGAGAGACACCCTGGGATTTTTAATGACCACAGAGAGTTTAACATCTCATCTGAAGGACGGTGCCCTTTTACAGTCAAGTGTCCCGTCACTATACTGGGGCATTAGGCCCCACACAGGCCACAGGGTGAGCACCCTGCTGGCCCCACTAACATCTCTTTTAGCAGCAGCCTTAGTTTTTCCCAGGAGGTCTCTCATCCAGATACTAACCAAGCTCACCCCTGCTTAGCTCCAGTGGGCTGCCACTTGTGAGTTGTGAGTTGCAGGAAAAGAGATGCTGGTAGGTTAATTGGTTCTGTGAAAACTGCCCCTGGTGTGAGTGCTTCTGAGTGTGCCCTGTAAAGGAATGACATGGCGCTGCTGGTGAGGCATGGACCTCTCCTCCAGTCACTGCTGACGTCTGGTACAGGGCGGTGCAGCCTGTGATGTGTCAGACAGTGAGTGGCTGGAAGGTGGGTGGGATGGAATCTGGCTCCGCCTCCTTATGCTCCCCTGTGTGCAGGAGCAGGACTCTGTACATCTGCAATTTCTTTGTGCAAACTTTTTGAAAGGCAGTATAGTGTTCCCCATCACAGTTCTGAAGTCTTGATTGAATCCAGAGGAAAGTGTGCCACCTACTGGCTCAGCACCAAAGTATACTGATATCTGACATTTATTTCTCTCTCAGATTCCATTGGTTTGCAGAGCTCAAACACTGAGGGATGCTATATAGACAAGGTAAGCAGTTATAATTAGTAATTGAGTAGTCTTATAGGTTGTTGTGTGTCAAATACTTGGTGGATGTATTGGGATTTCAATATGGATCCTACCCCATCTCCAGTACAACGGAGACCGCATGAAGAATACGTGATATCAGCCCATCCTGCTTTGTAGATTCACTGAAGCTACACTGACGATTATACCTGTAAGAAGGAAAGAGACAGGCCCTCGTGAGCTGGCCAGACTTATCTAGCTCAGAGACTGAGAACAAAGAACTGACCTTAAAACATTACCCAGTTTTCCTGGCTTTAAATAAACCAGTTATTAACGAATTATCGAAGCATTTAAAACTGGGTTCAAAGCCAAAATATGTTGAATGCCATGAAATGGCTGGGGTGCTATCTGTGTGGAGTTTGCATGCTATCCCTGTATTTGCATGGGTTTCCTCTGGGAGCTGCAGTTTCTTCCCACAGTCCAAAGACAAACTGGAAGGTTAATTGGCTTCTGTGAAAATTGGGCTATGATATGAATGTTCTGTCCATCTTGCAATGGGCTGGCATCGTGTCCAGGGGGTATCCTGCTTCCTGCCCGTTGCTTGCTGGGATAGGCTCCAGCTTGGCTGTGGCCCTGTACTGGATGAAGCAGAAAAGAGATGAATTCTCCCGATGTTCTGAAAGTCTTAGGTCTGAACTGAGCTCTATAGTACAGCCTTCCAAATGGACACAAGTTGCTGATTATATTAACATGATTTGAAACAATGGAAAATTAATGTACAGTAGAGATTAAAGTACCACTCCTTTCCCTCTGTTTTTAGGATGATGTTTATGATATAGACGGCGCGCGGGAGGCCTTCATCCTGTGCCAGAAGGAGAACCGCCGGGGGGCGGAAGTAGACCTGGAGCGGACCCGGAAGCTCCTGAGCAAGTATGGCTTCAAGTGCACGGAGGAGACGGACCTGCTGGGGAAGGTAATGGCCGCCCGTTCTCTTCCAGTCCTATAGTCTCTCTCCACTGGCGCAGCAGAGCTGCAGAAAGACACCCCAGAGCCTTCATGCAGCTGCACAGCCCCAGACGGGGCTGCCTGTCTGTGGGGAGTTTACATGGTCTCCTCATGTTTAGTTGTTTTTTTTGCCAGGTGGTCAGGTATCCTCCACCCCTCTATACACACCTTGACTACTCTAAACCATCCCTTTCCTGGGGTGGGGATGGGGGTCAAAGGGACTTTATACTTTGGAAGGTGGGGTTGTTCCCAGTACAAGAATTGCTGGCTATGGGCTAACGGAGAAGTAGAGCCACATCAGTCAGTTGGTAACCTAGGATGTGTCCATTTCACAATATAATAATAATGAAGTTAAATATGATATATTATGTACACATATTACAGGAGCATTAAACACATTAAGAATATGAGAAAGGTTCAAGGAAACAAGAGGTTCAGGGAAACAAAGGTTCAAGGAAAAAGGTTCAAGGTTTAAGGAAACAAGAGCCTCCTCTTGTTTCAAAGGAAACAAGAGGAGGCTCTTCTGCCTAAATAGCTTGTTTGGTTGCTAGTAACGAATTGATCCCAGGATCATCCACATGGGTGGACCGCTTGTTTCAAGCTCCCACCACCCTTTGTGTAAAGAAGTACCTCCTGTTGTTCTTCTCTGTAGCTTGCCCTTGTGACCTCTGCTTCATATTTAAGTAATAGTGTTATAATGAAACATACACAACTTCTGTTTATAACCTGGGAAAGATTAACATTAAGAGGGTGTTATAACATTAACTAGGATCTTGAAGGGGTCTGGTAACAAAGTTACTGGCTGTTCTTGAATATAAATGCTTCAGTAACAGACAACTTCAGCGTG